GAGGATGGAGTGAGCAGGGCAGAGCCTCAGAGAAGGGGCACAAAGGAGATGGTACAAGGGTATTTGGGTTTGAGGTAGATCTTGGATTGCATCTAAATTCAAGAAGTAAGTTCATGCTTAAAAAGATTGGAGACCACTATGTAAGGTAACCATATCCAGACCATTAGTGTCTTAATTTGGTTAAGCAGAAGCTTGAACTATAGTCAGAAAAACTGGAAAACGGTAATCAATGAGCTCAGTCTTCCTGCACCCCCTAAATCCTACTTTACCAATGGTGTTAGGGTGAATGGGGTTTGACAGTGAAGTATGGTGAAACATGCTCTGGTGGGTCTTATCAAATCAAGAAGGTGTCGAGATAGCATTCAGGATAGTAGGGAGTCTGACTATGCCCCTATTACTTTAGGGCAGTGTTTCTCAAACTGTGCTCCTCCGCGAGACATGTCCAGGGGCTCCGCGAGGTTGACAAACTGGAAACACTGATAGGTATGACACATACAATCAGTGGATCGTTAAGGCTCCGCATAAATTTTTACACACGTGAGGGGCTCCAGAGCCCAAAAAGTTTGAGAACCGCAATAATAGGTGGAAAAGAGAGTAAGATGGAAAAGTATGTGAGAAAATTTGGTTAAGATATAAGAAATGATCACAGAGGATGTCTGGTTGCATTTGTAGAGGAAAACCACTTTCATATACTGCACACAATATTTCAAGAGAAACAACAATCGGCAGTGGATGTGGAAAAGCCTGAATCGAGTCACACTGAATCAGACTGATTATGTACTGGCAGATACCAGAAGAATCTTCAGTGATGTAGCATCAATAGAACAAATAATTTACACAGGTTCAGATCATCCTCTATTGTGCTAAAAACTATGAATTGAAAATGCCTACGAAGACCAAGTCAAGAGCACCCAGAAACCAAAGCTTCAATGAAGAGGCATTTACACTTACACAGGATGTGAGTGAAATGGATCTCAAGTATAAGGCCAATAAGAACATGGATGAAGACTACAAAGAATTTCTCTCACAGATAATCTCAGCAGCTAAGAAGGCAAAGACATTGAAAATGATGGATGCAAGCAGAGGGTCATCAAAGAAACTGTGAATATGATGGGGCAAGAAGGGCACACATGAAATTAGAAAAATGGAAGAAAGATACAGAAGACTGTGCAAAGAAATTCACATGAAGATGAAAGAAGAGTATGAAGACTTTGGAAAAAATAAAGAAATATGGCTGAAAAGAACCAGGGTGAAGAAGACAGAAAGAGATGTTAGGCTTAAGCAGGTTATCCTCACAGTGCTGAAAGATGAAAACAGTGAAAGGCCATCAAAAAGGAGCAAGATGAATGAAATAGGTATAAAATTCTACAATGACCTCTACTCCTCGCATGTCAGTATTCGGCATACACCGTCAAAGCAGCAGACGACAGAAGTAGTTCCTGATGCTATGCGAGAAGAAATCAAATAGGCAGTTCACAACATAAAGAGAGGAAAGAGCCCGGGAGTGGCCTGAATATCTCAAAACGGGAAAATACTATCTTCAAAGCGTTGGTGCAATAACAGGCATATTCCAGAGGCATGGAAATCAAAAACAATACTACTAATGAAGAAAAGTGATCCAGAAGAATTGATCGACTACTGTCTGATTACATTTCTGTCACAAGTGAATATGGTGTACACCAGCATCACTCAAATTAAGAAGGATCTTGAAATGCACGAAATCAGAGAACAAGTTGATTTCCGCTCATGATATTTCACGATCCCGTTCACTCAGTTCAGGAGCTCAGGAAAGTACCACTGTGTCTTGCATTTGTCAACAACAGAAAAGCATTCAAGTCAGTGGAAGTTAATGCTGTACCCAACATGCTCAACAATATCAGAATTGACTCAAGGTATAGTGACAAGCTAGAAGAAATTAACTGAAATGTTCAACACAGATAATGTTATTCAATGTCCCGTGGACTATTATCAGATGTACAGGAGTCAGACAAGATGACAATTTCAGCAAATTTGTATGGAGCAGTACTGGAATCATTGTTGAAGAAACTAAACTGGGAAGAAGGAATTAGAATTGATGGAGAACAGTTTAACACTTCTTCTCTTTGCTAACAACTGTGTAATACTGGCAAAAGACACAGTAGAACTGGAGAACAAACTGCAGCAACTGCAAACTAGGGATGCGAACAGGTAACCAGTTAACTGGTTACACAGTTCCCCAGGAAAATTCTCCAGCCCCAGCAGCCAGCCCTGTATGGTTAATTTAGGTTAACGTAATATTTAATCGATTATCTGATTAACCGGGATTTTGCATCCCTACTGCAAACACTTTCACAGGATATTGGTTTGGAAGACCACACATTGATGA